CAAATACTCATACACACTTCTTTCACCAAGCTGTCACTTCTCATTTGTAAAGAAGGCTAGAGTAGGCTGTAATTAGTACTTGTTGCCCTGTCAACTAATTAAATGTAATAAAAAGCTTTCAGTGAATTTAATGCTAACATGGAGTAATTACATATGAGTTTTCAATGCACACTGCATTTATTATAGGTTTTGGTATGTGCCTCCCACTTTCTATGACCTAAATTCTCAGGTTAAACCTATCATATGTATGGGCACTGCGAAAGACCACCGTTTCAGACCCAAATACACATCAACCCCAACCCAGTCCTGTGCATTTTTAGAGGCACTACATCAGCCACTGGGGGCAGGGCTAGACAGACGGAGGAGAAACAACGAGCCAACTGCTTGTTTCCACGTTCTTCATCTTCCCTCCAGGAGGCACCCTTGCTGAATTCCCCCATTGGCTGACACCCCTCTCAGCCCTTTTCGTCCCTTTGGTACAGGGAAATATAGCTGAGATTTCAAAGCCATTTCCAACCCAATCTCCTCTTCAGTCTGAGGCACACCCTGGACAGAGGGGCACCGCGTGCAACTGCCCTGTTTTCACACCTCTGGGGCTGGCTCTGCTCCTCAAGAAGCAAGAGTTACAACAAAAAAACACCTACTATGCAGAGGATTAAGGAACAATATTCAGCAGGCCCAGATCAGGGCAAAAGCAATGATGGAAACCATGTAATGTTCCAGCACTTTGTTGACATAGCTCCTTACTCTTGCAAGAGCTTCCATACTTGGAAGAGCTATGAACACATAAAAAACAGGTGAAGAGCAGAGGTGGTCAGATCAGCCATGATGTTGGGTGTTACAGCTCTAGATGGTCAGTTGTTGTGCCTACTGCATTCTTCATACTTTCCCACTCATTCTCCTCATTGCCCAAAAAGATGTAAGGTAAGTACAAACACTCCACAAAATAAATACATAATTCATTGAAAAGAGTGTAGCCTAAGAGAACCAATTAAAATGATGAAAATCTTGAATTTTATTTAAGTATAGTTGTACGGACACGTGTATATACAAACATAGATCTTATGGGGCAGGCATTTTGGGTTGTTTGGTATTTTTAACATTTTCTTTTAAGTTCATATAATGTAAGCATTTCAAAAAAAGCACTCAGTAAGTGCAAAGAAACTGCAAAGCAGGGCAGTACAAGCACAGGACTACACTGAGCTGGACTTTCATACCCAGATGCATACACAATGAGTGTCTTCAATGGGGCATTAAGAGTAAGCATGGAAAGCAGATTTCGCAGACTCATGGGTAACCTCCAACATGCCAGCATCTATTAAACTGTACAGACAATGGCAGCAAGCCTACTGTAGGGAGATTCATCTCACATCTGAGAAGCTCGAGGGCAAATGCATGGGAAAAACTCAGTGATGCCAGACCAGACAGAGATATGCCCATTCACAGCTCCAAATTAAAAAAGGAGGAGGGTGGGAGAAGAGAAAGGGCAGGAAGAGGGAAGAGAAGTGTGAAGGATCATACACTAAAACTGGTGATTACAAAATCCAAGTGTAATGAAAGGAGGGGAGGAGTAAACACTCTTAAGCCTCTGAAAGTGAATGAACCATTGCCCTCCTGAGGCAAGTTCAGTTTTGAGGGCTGGGGGTGGGAATCAACAGGTACAAATACAACTGTTTTCCTTCCACAACTATAATAGGAAAGGAAACTATCTACTCAGCTACTCTCATTACCTCCCAAATTTGTTTCTAGCTCTTCTGAAACCAAGGATGTACACGTATCACACATGACACTGGCAAGATCCTTTCTGGAAAAAAACTGTTCATGGAAACAAAACCAGAAGGAAAACAGGAGGAATATAATAATAACAACAATAACAACAACAATAACAATAATAATAACAACAACAATAATAATAATAACAACAACAACAATAATAATAAACCTGAACAAAATAACAGAGAAGTTGTTATATCCCCAAAGCCTTTTTAGAAACAAAAATGATACAAAAGAACAAAAAGTAACACAGAAAACACAGGGCTCCAACATTAGACCCTTAAACACTGAGGACAAAACATTGATCATCAAAAGTCATGTTGTTCCAGGTCTTGACATTGTGAAGTCTTGCAACAGATGAACAATTTTCAAACATGAGTCCTGTATGCTGCAGTATCATGGCCACTTGTCTCTCAGTTCTCAGCCATGATCACACTTGATGCTTCAAAGATCTTTCTTGCAATCAATGCATTAATATCCTGAAAGTCTATTGTTCTCACTTACAAAAGACATAATAATCAAATTAATACTCTATTATCAAACACTATATACAACAGAGGTTGCTAATAATACAGAATTTAAAGAACATAGCTTTAAGTTTTACGTGTCTTTCCTTCGCCATCCAAGTACAGTACAAAACAACATTCTAAATGAACACAAAATGTTACCTTGCCTATTAAAGGATACACAGTATCCACTAAACTGACTGATCCCTATTTTCCCTGCTTCACTTTGCAATGCCCTTGGCAGCCAGGAATGCAGGTCATGAGGGTAAGAAAACCACCTAAGCTGAAGAGAGAATCAGTCCCTCAGACTCCAGCTGGAGCAGACAAAGGGAAAGTGAGCAGAAATCTCGTGAATTTGCACCAACAGTTGTATTTAAAGCATCCAGAGATCTGCAGTGCAACACAAAGCCCATCAGCATTTATGAACTTGTGACTGGGATTGCCTGATGCCATCAAGCATCAAACTGCCAGTGTGCCGTATGCTCCCAACCACCCCAGGCAACACCGGGACCTGCCCCACAGCTGCATCACTCATGTTCCTCCTCATCTACCCCGCAGGGCTCTGCAGTAAAACAAAAGGTGAATTTCACCAGAAGCGAGTAACACTAGTGGAAATAATTTGCTGTGGGTAAATGTACATCTGGAACTCTGATATCTTTCAGAGAGAAATGATGAAAAATGAAGTCACCACTTCTACCTAAAATAGGGGCTACTGGTATGACTCCCTGCAATCGCTATTAATAATTTCAATATGCTTGCCTGTCATGCAATATTAACTTTACTCTGGTTAATAATCCATTTGATAAGGTGCATTTTGACTAAGCTCACCTCATTCAAAGCATTTTCATTCCCATCTACTGTAGTACTAGTGTTGTGTACCAGCACATATATATTAAAAAGCGAAAAGTACCAGAGAGCCTGTAGTGAGATAATGACTTCCCTTCTCTGTTTAGACTGAGTATCTTTCTTGTGTGCACCTCACACTACAGGAAATTTCCTACATTTCTCCTGTAAGCATAAGCCCTGCATTAATGACTATATTGTATTATATCAGGCAAACAGCTTCCTTTGCATCTTAAATCTATTTTCCCCTTTCATCTTTTTTTTTTTTTTTTTTTTTTTTTTTTCCCAATAGTGTTTTTTCAACTTTTGGAAAGCATTTCTTCACTAAAGAAGGACCACAAAGTGTTGTCCATTAATGGTATCACGCAATTTTGCTACGAGAGACTTTTTCTTCAGAATTAATACGAAAAACTCTTGCTTTGTTTGAATGCACTCCATATTTTGTTTCACATTTAACCTAATTATTACAGTTTTTGCTAGAAAGTCTGATATCTCCCTGATTTATGCTTTGCAGTTCAAATTTCATCGCAGCCTAGTCAAAAAATACACCAAGGCTTGCACTTCTGGCAAACAACTTTCTGAAATTTTACATTAGCCAAGGCTTAGCTTCCTTAAACAGGGTCACTCCCAATTCCACCAAACAAGACAGTCCCATTTCCTAATTGCATCAAGTGTTACCAGTTCTTTCCCATGTTTAAATAGGACAAGTATATATACTCACTCTCAGCATAAAGTGTATCTAAATAATGTATTTTCTATTCTAGTGGATTTTTAAAAAAATATTTTGTTAAGTCTTTGGGAGGCCATCTAGTTTATCTCTGGCAGATAAACACATTTCCTCTACCCTTCAAACTGTGCCAGAAGGGAAAAAGATAAAAAATCAGCACTTGAATTTATATTCCACACTTGTGATCTTTCCCCTCACCAAACGATGCTTGTAGACTGTTCTTGCTTTTTCTACATGTAGCTTATTCCCATGATAGAGGAACTTGCAGGAGAGACAAATCAAGAGCACAGTGGAGATCCTGTGTCCCAAACACGTTTCCTCTAGCCACTGATGTTCTGTATTAACACCCAGAGCAGTATCCAAAGCTATCAGCTACTAAGTCAGCGCTGGGGAAGGTCACTTTATTCTCAAAAGTGCCTCTGCATTTCAAGAAAAAAATTATAGCACCACGGTGATTTGTTTCCAAATAAAATACTCCGGTGTGCATTATCCCCTTAAAACGAAATAACAGAGGCACTCAACACCCCCAGTGAAGTTTCCTAAATCGGACCTTGCCTGCTGTGTGCTAACATCCCTAAACACTAACTTCTTCCTCTCACAAAGACAGCATTTCTACTTGTGAGCACAATTTTCACTGTTAAAGATGTTTCAAGAAACATTTTTCTCTTTCAGAAGCCTCTTCATACAGAAACTCCTTTGAGGATACAGTGTTATACCTGTTCTTAAGATTTCCCCTCCAGTCCTGATGTGGTGATGCAATGCCTTGCATGATCATCTGACAATGCTGAACAAAAAGGCATAAACATTATTTTGGAGAGAAAAACTCTCCCAGGCTTTCACTTACTTTGCTTATCCTTCACTGACTGCATCTACCACTGTTCTTCCATGTCCACATATGGATGTCAGTGTGAGCTAACAGAGGTGACTTCTTAAAGGAGAAAGCAGAGGAAAATAAGAATCACTAGTGTCACTGTTAAAGTTTGGCATTTTCACTTGGAGTCCTTTTATTTATTAGAAGGGTTAAGAAAGTCACAAGGTAGGTAGGGATGGGTGATGAAGCTAGTTATCCCCTTCAAATTTTTGCTGAGTTCAGGCTAAACAGGAGAAGAAAAAGGGAAAAATAACAATTTGACATCTGCAAAAACAATAAAGTTCCTTTTCTGGGATGCGCAGTTAGGTGGATCTTTGATGTTCCAAGACCCTGATATTTTCTGTGACAGGTTGCAGGAGCATAGTGTGCTATAATATCAAAAGCACTGCCAGGAGGAACAAGAGAGTTGCCAAAATCCGGCTGGGTAGCCTTGGTGTCTGTGCTGCGTTCTCACCACGGGATGGCTCAGCTGACTCATGTACGGTATCATCTGTTCAAACAGAAAACATACAATGCAATGAGATTTTGCATCCTTAATAAACTCTCACTGAGCCGACAACTGTAAGTAGATTTCAGTGCCTTTATGAAATAAGGCAATGAACCTTGGGCTGTCATTGACTTCCACAAGCGTATAATACCTCATTATGCAACCAATGCAGGGCCAAGTCCTGCATTTTTTACTGGCAAAATTCCCACTGAGGACAAGAGGAGCAGAAAGTAAGTCTGATTTCAACAGACTGAGGAATGAAAGATTCCTCCTCAAAGAAAACACCTTAGCTGTTGCTTTGGATGGCTCATTAGACAGCAATGTCAATAGCGAGGCAGCTAAATAAAAACCTCTGATTTTCAAAGGGGTTTGAAGAAGAATTGCATGTGCTCAGCATTAGTTTTGTCGCTAATCCCCCTATGAGTTACAGATTTTGGCTCCTGAATTTGAAATTACAGCCTTTAAACCCACACATATATTCCACTTCCATGTGTAAAATTTCCACTGAAGTATACCACAATTGGGGATATGCAGGAAATGTAAGACCAGTCTCCCTTTCTTGAAGCAGAATTTTAAAGGCTAAGACGTTACAATCACAGATTTCATACAATACATACTCAAACTGGAAAAGTTTATAGGTAACATACTACCCTTTTATGACACACAAAACTGAGATTGACATACATGCAGCTAAAACTAAAGGAAAAGCCCAACTGCTACGTTAAGAAAATAACTTATACTTTAGTGGCAGAGAAAACACAGCAGAGATACTGAATTTACAATACCAAATCAAGCTCTGTTTACTTTTTTAAACTTAAAATTATGTACTATAAAAAAGGTAAGTCAAGTAAACTTCAACTTCAGTGTTCTTGTATGTATGGTATTTCTCTCTGCAAAGCCCTTCATATCCACAGCTATCTAATTTAGCTTGCCATGAAAAGTCATCTCTGGGTTTGAATTTTCTTAGTGTAAATGAATAAAATAAGCTAGACCATTTTGGGAAGTGTGAAGTGGCCTCAAAATGTACACATACCTTATTTTGGAGTGACTAAGTTTCCAGGAAATTTAATGGTATCTCAATATTTAGTGTAATAAGCTCCTCCATTTTATGACACGTGTTGACATATCTACAACATATTTTCTCATAGCTCCCATCTCAACAAATTGCACTGCCAGGATTACAATGGGTCAGAGCTGTGCGATGCCAATTAAAGGCACTAAGGGAAGCAGGAGTCAGGACACTGGGACCACCATGCCACTTTGGCATGGAGCCTTTCATGTTGCTCAGCTTTAGCTAGAAACAAGCTCCCTCCTCTTTGTACCCTTGACATCTAGCACAAAAGCAGGTGGAGCTTCTGAGAGAGAACTTAAGGCTCTTCATCCCCACTTGGTTATACAGCAAGATGCACAATAAACTGGATTAACAATCTTTCACATTTTTTTCCAGCACTAATGGAAGCTACAATCACAACAGGCTTATCAACAGGTCTTCAGTCTTGCTCAAGGCAAAAGTATGACAAGCAAGCACTGATCAGCTGTAAATATGTTGACATTTTTAAGGAGGGACGTAACCAGATCAAAGTCCACCGATATCAGAGGGAAAGTCTGTTCGGAATTACTTCAGTTACAGCTTTTCACCATGTATACCAAGGAGACCCTCCTAGGAACTTCAGCCCTGAATGATACCCTAATAAATTTCCTCCAGAATTATTCCAAAGAAATATAAAAAGTTCAGTGAATGCTGGCTATTGAAAATTGCCACTTCCAGTGGTTGTTAGTAGCAAAAGCTGTTTCACACTTCACTTCAGAGTTACACTCTTGTACTTTGGTGACACTGCAATGAGAATACAGTAATGCACAGAAGCAGCTTCCCAATGAAATTGTACTCAAAGAAGTTACAGAGAAAAAATATCCTCATTCTGTCAGCTCTACCTTCTTTCACATATTTGGGGAAAACTCTTCCAAATCTGTAAAAATTTACTCCTGCTG